AACACCCTCATCCTAGACCCAGAACACCCTCATCCTAGACCCAGAACACCCTCATCCTAGACCCAGAACACCCTCATCCTAGACCCAGAACACCCCTCATCCTAGACCCTCATCTAGGGGCTAGTCCGCTGCCAAACACAAGCAACATGGTTTCATTCCCAGCAGACAGCCCTTGCTCACCCCTCATTTGCTCCGACCATGATCTTGGGCTACACGGCCCAAAGGAGGGGTGCTCCTGCTGTTGTTTGTGACCTCTTATAAGGAGCTGGAGAAAGGTCACATGCCCCTTCTCCCTGCTCCTGCCTGTGAGGTGGATTCCCTTCCGGTCAGATCAGACCTCTGTCTACTCCGTCCAGTCATCGTGAGTGTATTTCCTCAATTTGTATCTTAATAAATTCTGTTACCCATTTAACAGACTCACGTGGATTGATCGTAATAATGATGTCACCTACTCTACCTCCATCTGATGGCTCCCACCCGACGATGGCATGTCCTAGCATGGCTCCCACCCCACGATGGCACGCCCTAGCACGGCTCCCACCCCACGATGGCATGCATGCCCTAACATCTTCCCTCTAGTTATACAGTGCTCCAAAGAACCCCATCGGTGGGTTCACTAGATTGCTGTTTTCCGAAGCGAGAGCCTTGCCCAAACTTCCCGCTAATGCTGTTTGCAGAGCCATCCTGTCTTCCTCCGCCTGTGAGGGCCGTCACACCTGAGCCGCATCATCCAAGCTCTGCTACCCTCGGTCTTCCCGCTGAATTCCAGGGAGACTCGAGGTGGAGACTAAAGGCTAGGGAGTGATAGAAGTCAGAAAACTCCATCAGGCACAATGTCTCACACTTATAATCCCAGCACTTAAGAGAGTGCTACCTAAAGGTTGAGGCCAGCTAGTTCTAGGCTAGCCTGGGCTACACTATTAAGACTTTGTCATAAAGTAAAAGAAAGGAGCAGGGGGGAAAGGAATATTTCCTATTCCCACTCCCCACCTGTTTGCAGGACACATCCCTCTGTAGCCATGACTGTGCTGTGTCCACATGGCTGCAGATTTGGGGACTCCAGTATCATTATTTCAACACTAAGAATCTGGATGGCTTGCTCTTTTTTCTAGTCCCTGGTGTCTGAACACCCTGTTTTTGTTTTCCAGTTCACTGTGTAGAGCAGGCTTGCCTAGAACTCACAGAGCTCCACCTGCCTTCACCACCATGCCCAGCTTTGAACACTGTTTTTGGTTGGGTCCCTCGACCCTACCTGTGACCCTGGACCTCCTTTCACTAAGTTCTCTTGAGAGAGTTCAAAATGTCCTCTGTCTCCTAGTGAGACCTTCCTCTGCTTTCACATGGTCCCCTCCGGCTCAGTCGTTCCATCCATGTCATACTTCATGGCTCGTCCTCCTCCAGGCTGCCTCTTCTTCCTTAATCTCCCTCCATCCTCCTTCCAGAACTATCCTTCTGTGGTGTCATGGCTAATAATGAACTAGCTATTGCCTGGATCTCATCCCCCTCTGAACTCACTCCAAGAGATGAGACAGATCGATAGTCAATTATCAAGTAAGCCAACAGTGACCACACAGGGTGAGGGCAAAGACATCCTCAGAGCTAGCTGTTGGAATTCTGGTTCATCTTCCTTTCACCCACTCTTAGAGTCCCGCCACCGCCGCCACCGCTGCCGCCGCCGCCACCCTGAGTCCTGCCTGGAAGCTTGAGAGAGAGAAGAGGAGGGATGTCTAGGATGAGGAGAGGGCAGAATTCACTCTGAGAGCGGATCCTCTTTAGACCTTTACCCTCTTTCCTCACCGTCTCCGCCCTGCGGCTGGACAGCCCTGAACCATGGGGTCGATACCGTCTGCAGCCCAAGGCCAGGTTTGCGCAAACCCCATGTGCCCTGTGGGTAATGTGATGTCTGTGTTTGCTCAGCATGTAACCCTCTCCTACCAGGGCAAGAGGTTCCTGAAACGGAAATGCAGAAGGGAAAACCTGCAAGGGACCTTTTGGGGGGGCTGCAAGTCTGAGCCGTGGGGTTTCCTAAGCAGCCCATGGGAGACCTTCATCTAAGGAGGTTTCCTGGTGTCTCTTCCTCTGCCTTTTGTCAATTGTGTCCCACTTTTGTCCCTCTCTCAGCTCTAAGTGCTTCCCTTATAACGACAATTTCAGTGCCCAGGACCAAGACCAGGGTAAGGCAAAGCGAGGAGGCCCTCACCTGGTGGGCAGAATTTTAAGGTGAAGGCAAACAGTTCATCAATGGAGAAAAACAGCATTTTAATGAAAGCTGCTCAAACACGGTGAATGCTGCAGATCCGTGACGAACCAAACAGCATCTTTAAAAATAAACACAGGATCCATGTTATTCACTTTCTTTTTTGGCTCTGCTTAAAAAAAAAAAAGGAATGGAATGAAATGGAAGAACCTGTCATCATCGTCTACACATTTTCTCCCCGAGCCCCTTACCCCCCCCCCACCTCTAGACTCCTCCGGACTGCTCTCATTTGGGTGAATAAGTGGCTCTGCTTCTATTTCCCTCCCCATTCTCAAGCCTGTCGCTACCCCCAGCCCCCAGCCAGCTCGGTGGCAAGGCGGGCTGTGTGGCAGATGCCTGGGTATTTATAACCTGGAAGTACTTCTTGGGGAAAGTGACTAAGATGCTAAGAGCGTATTTATAGCTAAGTTCTGACGTAAGTGTCGGTGGGGAGGTAGGACCAGGCCAGGCGCACCAGCCAAGGGGGGGTGGGAAGGACTTGAAACCATGGGCACCTGGCGAGGAGGGTGTGGGGTAGGTGGCGTCAGTGACTCCCACAGCCACGGCTTGCTCCTTCCCCTGAGCCTGGTTCCTGGCACACACAGGTAAGCCCTTCTAGGCACCGCCAGAGATGGGCACTTACAGTCTCACGGTCCAGACCCACTGGCTAGCAGGCTGTCACTCACCCGCAGGGACCAACAGAGAGGGGATTGAGAGCTACAGAGAGCAGGGAAAGTCTCGACTACGCTTCAGGGCCTGGGGAGAAACGCGGGCGGAGAGAATTCTCTCCTAACCCTTTCTCCCCCCTCTCTACTCCATGGCGCCCTGAATTTCTAGGAAGTCTAGCCTCTACCGTCGGGCTCCATGGCCATGTGTCAAAGGTGGCAGGGATGCAGTTTTGAGGACTTCCTCTGCTGTCTGGCATTAGGGAAGCCAAGGAGCAGAGGAACCGCCCCTTTCCACGGCCTGGGAGGGAGGCCTATCCTTCATCTCTGCAGCAGCCTCAACCCTGTCCCCAGGAGTCTCTGGTGTCCAGTGGCTGCTGTCCAGTGGCAAGGCACTGCCACACGGTGGACACTGGTGGTATTGAGGATCAGCCTTCCGAGGACATCCCTTTCCTCGGGCCAGATCTAGAACTCTGGAGGCAGCCACACCAGGCTAAAGAAGGGGGAGATGTGGAGTGGGTCGGGGACTCTATGTCACACCCCTTTGGCTCACGGCTTTCTCACCGATGCTTCCCAGCTTCTTAAAGAAACTGGTGGCGCATGCCTTTAATCTCAGCACTCAGAGGCAGAGCCAGGCGGATCTCTGTGAGTTCGAGGCCAGCCTGGTCTACAGAGTGAGTTCCAGGACAGGTTCCAAAGCTACGCAGAGAAACCTTGTCTTCCAAGAAAAGAAAGAAAGAAACTGGAGCCAAGGAGAAACGCTAGCCGGGTACCACCCTCCTGTATCAGAGGTCATGTACCTTAGGGCTGGCTATGTAGCTCAGTGGTAGGGTCCTAGCCTAGCATGTGCAAAGCCCTGGTTTCAATCCTCATCGCCAAATAAAAGCCAGGCATGGTGGGTGGTTCTTGTCTCTGATCCTAGCACTCAAGAACAGAAGTTGGAGGTCACCCTTAGCAACACAGGGAATTGAAGGTCGTCCTTGGCTACAGAGGGAGTACAAAATCAGCCTGGAATACAGGAGAGTCTGACTCAAACAACAGTAACAGAAAAATAAAGCAACTCACCATAGTCTCACGACTAAGAAAACTGAGGCAGGAGGATCACTTACTTACACCTAGAAGTTTAGCCAGCCTGGCCAACATAGAAACATTTCATCTCAAAAGACAAAACAAACAAAAAAACATTAACAACAACAATAATAAAACCAGTCTAACAGGCCTGAGAAGAAGAAGGAGGAGGAGGAGAAGAAGAAGAAAGCCCAGGCAGTGGTGGCGCACGCCTTTAATCCGAGCACTCAGGAGGCAGAGGCAGGCGGATCTCTGAGTTTGAGGCCAGCCTGGTCTACAGAGCAAGTTCCAGGATAGCCAGGACTTCACAGAGAAACTCTTTGTGTGTGTGTGTGTGTGTGTGTGTGTGTGTGTAGGGGGATGTTATGGGTTGACAGAGTGGGGGTGGGGAGAATGGAGTCAGAGACTGGGGGATGACTCAGAAGGCAAAGCTATTATTGCCTTGAAAGCACAAGGCGGCGAGCATTCGAGTCCCCGGGGCCCAGGTAGAAATGGGAACGTGAGCGTGTAACCCCAGTGTTGGGGAGGCACGAGAGCAATCCCTAGGGCTCACTGGCCAGCACGTCTAGTCTAATTCTGAGTTCCAGGCCCATAAGAGACCCTGTCTCAAAGGAGGACGGAGTTCCTCGGGGTGGCACCCAGGACTGTCCTCTGCACACACACACCCCCAACACACACACACTGAAAATCAAAGTCAGTGGAGGGTGTCTGGAGGACTGGAAGATGAGGAGCCAAGGCCGCTCTGCTTGTCCCCCTTTGTTCTCTGTGTCCCTTAAACTTCCCATTTTTCCAGCCTCGTTAACCGAGGCCTGGCGCCAGCCCTGGCACGCCTCACATTTGGCCCGCTCCTACGGTGCCCTAAAGACAAGCGGTCAGTGGGCGCAGGCTCTGAAAAGGTGCACGCCCTTCTGCCAGCCTCGATGGACTCTGCCCTGCTGTGGGGTTGCGTCACTGCCACCCCCAACCTCTCCGGGTTTCCCCAGGTATCACAGAAGCACGTCCTCACCCCTTGCTCTGGCCCTCCCCCAGCTGGACTCTGAGCAGCCAGCGCAGGCAGGGTCAAAAGGTAACGACCATGCCCCGTGGCACTGCCACCTTGGCCTGAGCAAGAGGACTCCATTTTCCCGCCACCCCTTCCAAATTCTCACCCCTATCCCAGTTGTAAAGCCAGAAACGGGGACCGCCATTCTTCTGACCTACAGACCCTCAAGAACTAACTAACCATCGGATTCCATGGCTGCCTCATAAACGGTTACAGAAGTGGTGGGCAAGCCCTGGAGACAGGACACAGGAAGGAGCCGCCCATCCCCACCTGGCTCCTATGGAGTCCCTGCTCTGAGTCCCAGACCTTTGGGAACCGAGCGTGTGAAATCATCCTTTCTTGCATCATGCATGTCCACGTTGCAACCGCGCCCGCCCCCCATACCCCTACCTCAAGCTACCACAACCAGGTGGTGAAACTTGAGCCCCAGGGGAGACCTCCACCCCCTGCAGGGGCCTGATGGGCAGCTCAGCTGGCCAATCCTAAGGCTCAGAGGATAGGTCGGCTGGCTGACCACTAGGTGAGGGAGCCCAAGCAGCTGGCTCTAAAGAGGCCGTGCTCAGTAGTCAGTCATGAGCTGTGAGGATCAAAGACAGCTACCCATCAGATGATCTTCTCTCTGCTTGCTGAGGCCCAGGCCATCGAGGACAAGTAGCTCTGCCCTTTTGTCAAGAGTAGCTGTGACACTGCTTGTCCCCGCTGCTGCGGCTGCACCCTCTCGGGCTCATTAAATTGCCACCCGAGGGGCTCTCGACTCAGGGCCATCCACCTGGAGCATGGGGCTTTCAGAGGTCCAGCTCTGGCCAGTGCTACTGTGGGCATTGGCGTGGATGCAGAACGCAAGATCTGCATGTCCGTCCTGTGGGGGCCCATCCCTGGCACCCCCAGGAGAACGTGCCCTGGTCCTAGAGCTAGCCAAGCAGCAAATCCTAGCGGGCCTGCACCTGACCAGCCGGCCCAGAATCAGTCGCCCTCTGCCCCAGGCAGCACTAACCAGAGCCCTCCGGAGACTGCAGCCCGGGAGCGTGGTTCCTGGCAACCGAGAGGAAGTCATCAGCTTTGCTACCATCGTAGGTGGGTGAGGGGAGAGAGACGGGGCCCTGGAGGAGGAAGGAGAGCCCTGGAAGGGAGGCAGGGGGAATGGGGTGTGGCTGGCAGAAGGAGGAGCTGAGGGCAAGTGTGGCTGTGAGGACGCAGGCAGTCCAGGCTCTGCCCGGAGGTCTGAATGAGGGTACCGGGCAGGGTGGCGGGAAGTGTCTAAGGGAAGCTTTGTCTCTGTTCACATTTTTATTTGCTTTTTTTTTTTTTTTTAATATCGTTTGTGCAGGCAAATCCACTTCCACCTACCGCTCCATGCTCACCTTCCAGCTGTCCCCTCTTTGGTCCCACCACCTGCACCATGCCCGCCTCTGGCTGCATGTGCCCGGATCTCTCCCTGGCACTCTCCACCTGAGGATCTTCCGTTGCGGCACCAGGCGGTGCCGCGGATCTCGCACCTTCCTGGCTCAGCACCGAACGACTTCCCCAGGCTGGCACGCCCTGACTCTGCCCTCTAGTGGCCTGCGGAGCGAGGAATCTGGGGTGGTGAGGCTGGAGCTGGACTACAGGCCCCTGGGCCCCAACAGCACCCGGGTTGCGGGACTGCCACGGCGGCTCTTGGACACGGAGGGACAGCAGCGTCCCTTCCTGGAACTCAAGATCCGAGCTAATGAGCTCGGAGCAGGCCGGGCCAGGAGGAGGACGCCCACCTGTGAGCCCGAGACCCCCTTATGCTGCAGGCGAGACCACTACGTAGACTTCCAGGAGCTGGGGTGGCGGGACTGGATCCTGCAGCCTGAAGGATACCAGCTGAACTACTGCAGCGGGCAGTGCCCGCCCCACCTGGCTGGCAGCCCTGGCATTGCGGCCTCCTTCCATTCCGCTGTCTTCAGCCTCCTCAAAGCCAACAACCCTTGGCCTGCGGGTTCCTCCTGCTGTGTCCCCACGGCCCGAAGACCCCTCTCGCTCCTCTACCTCGACCACAATGGCAACGTGGTCAAGACCGACGTGCCAGACATGGTCGTGGAAGCCTGCGGCTGCAGCTAGCAAGAGGACCTGAAGGTTCTGAGTGAAGTTCAAGGTTCAGGTTGGGGGGTTCCCTGGCAAAGACTCCCGTGTCTGGGAGCCTGAGATTTGCTGACCCGTGCAGGTTCCCAACAGACTACCTGGCAGTGTGGCTGGGCTTGACCCCTATGGGACTCAAATGGGCATTTTCTTGTCCTAGATTCTGGTCTATTTCAGGCTGTTTCCAATGCGGACAGATGGGTAAAGTGTTTCCTTTCAAGGGGACTGCCTGGCCAGCAGCATTTCCTACATTGAGCCCTGTTCCCGGACAGCAGGGGATGTCGTGGGAGGGAAAGAAGGACGCAGGGGGAGATGACTTAGTTTCTCCCCCCAGAAAAGAAATTCCTCAAGTAAGGAAGGAGGAACTAGAGGGCCCAGCAGACTGGGGGACAGCAGACAAGCAAGCTAAGAACCCGGACTACTGCCCTCTTTGAAGCAACGTCAAGAGGAAGAGGAGCAAGGTGTGGGAGTGGGGATGGGTTGAGGGGCTTAGGAGGACCTGGAATTGCGAGTCAGTAAAAAGGGATGCGGAGCCCATGAAGTTCTCTAGCTTTCCCTCGAGGACAAGACATAATTTCTCATGTGGAAGACATAATTTATACTTTCTTAATAAAAACAAGAAAGAAAAGGAACAGTGAGTTGTCGTCGTGATAAGAGGTTGATGTGATGGGTCACATGATAAGGGGTTGGTGACATAGGTCATAATCGAAGTGTGGCCTGGGGACCTCTGCCAGGTCCCAGAAGCCCTCTCAGAGGTTTCAGAAACATTTTCATAATAATACAAAGATGTTATTTGCCCCTTGTTATCATTATCTCTACATTATACTGTGGGGACAGGGTGTGGTGTTTACAGCACTCAGAAGACTGAGGCAGGAGAATCACTATGATTCAAGATCAGCAGAATTCCAGACCATGAATTCTAGGCCAGGCTGAGCTACTGAGAACCTGTCTCAAAGCAAACAAAAACATCAAATGGAGTTTTCCAGAGAATGTTATACGATACAGCTAATTACATCACTGCCGAGAGATTAGGAGCTTATCTATTCCTTTCCTTTTGCTTCTGTAAAAAGTCTTATTTACAGCTGGGTGGTAGTGGCACTTGCCTTTAATCCCAGGACTTGGGAAGCTGAGGCAGTCAGATTATCTCTGAGTTCAAGGCCAGCCTGGTTCACAGAGTGAGTTCCAGGACAGCCAGGGCTACACAGAAAAACCTTGTCTCAAGAAACCAATAAATAGGAGAGATGACTCAGAGGTTAAGAGCACTGACTGCTCTTCCAGAGGTCCTGAGTTCAATTCCCAGCAACCACATGGTGGCTCACAACCACCTGTAATGAAATCTAGTGCCCTCTTCAGGCTTGCAGTCATACATGCTATATACATAATAAATAAAAAAAAAAACAATAAATAAATAAATATGGATATTTTAAGAAAGAGTTAAATTCTGAAGAGCTGATGCAGTACTTAAGAGAGCCTGTTGCGGGGGCTGGAGAGATGGCTCAGAGGTTAAGAGCACTGGCTGTTCTTCCAAAGGTCCTGAGTTCAATTCCCAGCAATCACATGGTGGCTCACAACCATCTGTAATGAGATCTGGTGCCCTCTTCTGGCCTGCAAGGATACATGCAGATATTACACTGTAAAATAAATAAATAAGTCTTAAAAGAAAAAAAAAAGGGGGGAGGCCTGTTGATCACAGGAGACAGGGGTTTGATTCCCAGCATCCACATGGTGGTTCAGCCATCAATAACTCCAGCTCCAGGGAGCCTGGCACCTTCTTCTGACCTCCATAGGCACCAGGCATGCATGTGGTACACATATGTGCATGCAGGCAAAACACTGATACACACAAAATCAAATAGACAAACCTTAAACCACATAAGTTAGAGAGAGATTGGGGGCACAGCTCATTAGGGAAGGCACCCCACACAGTGCCGGGGAGGAGGCTATCTCTGTCGATGCATTCCAAGTTCAGAGATCTCAAAAAAAAAAAAAAAAAAAAAAAAAAAGATGCCTAGACAGACAGTGGTGATGCACACCTTTAGTCCTAGTACTTGAGAGGCAGAGGCCGGTGGATCTCTGAGATCGAGGCTAGCCTGGTCTACAGAGTGAGTTCCAGGACAGCCAGGGCTACACAGAGAAACCCTGTCTTGAAAAAAACAAAGAACAAAAGCCAAACAAAGAATAAAAAAGTGAGGTGGGAACAGACGAGAGGACCTTGTAGGTGAAGGTGACTGCCCCAGGCCTGAATACCTGGCTATGCATGTCAGTCTCTAGGAACCACAGGATGGACAGAGAGAACCAACTCCCTCAAGCTGTTGTGTTGGTTGGAGTGAGATGCCCCGCAGCTGTAAGTTTCTCCAGTCCCACCCAGCCCTGAGGTCCTGCAGCCGCTTATAAAATCATCACTCAGAGGCTTAATATTAATTAAGGGTCAGGCTTCTTGCTAGTTTGCTCTTATATTTGTTGTTGTTTTCGAGACAGGGTTTTTCTGTGTAGCTTTGGAGCCTGTCCTGGATCTCACTTTGTACACCAGGCTGGCCTCGAACTCACAGAGATCCACCTGCCTCTGCCTCCCAAGTGCTGGGATTAAAGGTGTGTGCCACCACCGCCCAGCAAGCTCTTATAATTTAACTCAACCCATTTCTATTAATCTAGATGTTGCCACGTGGCCGTGGCTTAACTGGCCTGCTGGCATCTTGTTGCTCCTTGGGCGGCAGGCTGGTGTCTCCCAGACTCCATCCTTCTTCATTTCAGCTTTAGTTTCAATGTACAACCTAACTTCATCCTGACCTGCCATAGGCCAATGTATCTTTATTTATCAACCAATCAGAGCAACACATATTCACAGTATACAGAAAGATATCCCACAGCACTTCCCCTTTTCTGTCTAATCAAAAGGGAAGATTTTAACTTTAACATAATAAAATTACACATAATAGAACAGTTATCAAGCAAGAATTACAGTTATAATACCTAGTCTATTTGTATTTGGCGAAGTTAAAGGAAATATTCTATCATCTTATATTTGTGAGTCTAAAGTTTCACATCTAATTTATTTTTTATCATAACCAAGGAAAACTATAATTATAACTAACTAGTCTTCAACTACATCAAAGACCTTAGAAGGATATAATATTATTTATTACCTAAGTAAATAGGAAGTGCTTTGTAAGCAATGTCCATAATTCTAGAAATGACAGAGACATCTGTCTTCCTGGGCAGTCATCCAAAGTTCCTCTGCAACGCTGGGGCATCCATCTTTAGCCTATAGACCTAGAGTCTCTCAGTCACTTTTTCCTGTGTCTGTAGATTGTCTGGCGGTAGATTGCAAAGCAGGAACCTGAAGGACCATTTCACCTTGTTTTGGCAAAATTCAGTGGTCATTTTCCTATGGGTCCTGTATGTCCAGTTTATACAACATATTGTCAGCAGTCCAGGCAAGAGCAGTTTCTTGCCCAAACGGTCAGTTTTGCCAAGAAGATAAACTCAATATAGAGTGTCTTCAATGCCCATCTTCCTCTTTGAAGTAAATCGGTGCTGCCAGGAGCAGATGTGTCTCACTGTCCAGAAAGTCTAAATTTTTAAATATTTGAAGATTAGCTACCTACGTGAAATATATCTATGCATACCTAGAAAACTTAATTAACATGATTATAAGTTTGATCATCGTAAACTACTAATTATTTTGTATTTTTAATTATATATTACAATTTAAATGAGTTGCATAAACATAATACCTTAAACAACAATAGAAATATATATATATATAGTATAACAAAATTAACTTTAAATTTGTAACAATAAACCAAAATCCATAGCAATGTAAAACATTTCAAACAAGCTGTTGCTCTTTAAAAGTAGATTCAATAATCTACCCTTTTATCCTATCATATCTATATCTTACATTTCTATATCATATCCCCCTTTCTTCTTTTAGAAAGAGATTGACTATGACCAATAACAATTTTTTTAATAATGATTTATTTTTATGTGCATGTACATCTATGTGAAGGTGCTAGATCCCCTGGAACGGGAGTGACAGACAGTTGTGAGCCTTCATGTGGTTGCTGGGAATTGAACTCAGGATCTCTGGAAGAACAGCCAGTGCTCTTAACTGCTGAGCCGTCTTTCCAGCCCCCCCAATAACAATTTGTAACCAAACCCCTAAACAAATATCCATAATTCTTATTTTTTGTGGGGGGGATGTGGGCATAGTCCTCTAGGCTACTTCCTGCTGGTTGAGGGCACTGTTAATCTTATGGGGATCCTGAGAAAATTGGGAGAGGGGCATTTTTTTCTTAGAATTGCTTCCTGCTGTTTAGAGGGCAACAGTATCTCTGTGGGGTCCTGTAAGAAAGCTTAGATAGGCCGGGCAGTGGTGGTGCACACCTTTAATCCCAGCACTCGGGAGGCAGAGTCAGGTGGATCTTTGTGAGTTCAAGGCCAGCCTGGGCTACAGAGTGAGTTCCAGGAAAAGGTGCAAAGCTACACAGAGAAACCCTGTCTCTGAAGAAAAGAAAAAAAAGAAAGAAAGAAAGAAAAGAAAAAAAATGGGCTGGAGAGATGGCTCAGAGGTTAAGAGCACAGCTTGTTCTTCCAGAGGTCCTGAGTTCAATTCCCAGCAACCACATGGTGGCTCACAACCATCTGTAGTGAGATCTGGCGCCCTCTTCTGGCGTGCAGTGATATGTGCAGACAGAACACTGTATACATAATAAATAAATAAATCTTAAAAAAAAAAAAAGAAAGAAAGAAAGCTTAGATAGTCAGTTCTCAAAAGATTAGCTGTAGAGTCTGCAGCCAGTCTCAGAGTAGTGGGTAAGATTGTCTGAGATTCTAGCTAGAAGTGTAGTATGATGGACCATCTCATCTTTGAACTGTCCTGAAGAATTATCAGTCCAAGGCTGATCACTGAGTAATGTTCTTAGGCACAATGACATCTTTCTGGACCGAGTAGAGTCGTTGTTGTGGGGCCCCATCTTCCTTCTGTAGACTTCAGAGATTGCTATTGGAAAGACTCATATTTCACTGTGGAAAACTTGAACATTATTAATATCAAAATGTAAAGTTTGGATTTATGCTGGATTGAAAAGGGATTCCCAGAAAGCAAGGACAAGCGTGGAAAGAAATAGAATCTTGACAACAATGGTCCCTAGATTATTGGTTTTCTTCTGTCTCACACCAGTTGGCTCTTCTAATATGAGACAGAATTTCCTAATTTTTCTTTTAGCAATATGCTTGGGTTTAGAGAAGGAGAAAGTCACATTTCAACTCCAAAGCCAGCTTGATTTGTAATTGAATCGGGACCACAACTATTCTAGAGTTAAAGAGATATTGATGTTAGGCAGTGAGATATTACCCTGTAGAGTATATTGGTACCAATAGGTCCTTCTCTTCTGCTGTAGACGTCTAGGTGTCTAAGGCCTTATGATTTCTTAAAGATGGGTATTTCTATTATCCTGTAAAGACAAAAACAGAACCCTGCCCCAGCCCTTGTTTGCTGAGTTTTTCTTACAACTTGTAGTGATGTCACATTGGTGGATGAGCTGTTACTTCTCCTCATCAAGGGGTTTCTCCTGTTCAAAGCGAATTTTTGTTAATTTTGTTGGTACCCATACCTTTTCGAGTTCTCCTGTA